TGCCTGTGCGCGCGCCCACCCGCGCGTGGCCCTGCGCGCCACTGCCTGCCAGCGCGCCCATGTGCGCGGGCTGCACCTGTTGGGCACCCAACTTGCGTGCCTTCCATTCCGTCGAGCCATCTGGTTCCTTAGCCTTCCCCACCAGGTTCTAATACTTTGATAACCATCCCAAAACCTCCGGTAGCACTTCCTTCCGAGGCGTGGTCTTGTCCACGTGCGTCTACGCCAATGCGCGTGTTCACGCCCTTGTCTAATGAGCCCCTTCTTGCGCTCGATTGTCGCCCACTTATGGACCACCCTTTTGTGTGCCCTTGCATTCCTCCATGCGCGACCTTCCTTGGCCGACTTGTGTGATCGCGCGTCCAACCCGTGTTCTCTTCCACGTGCTTGATCGCGCGCTAACTCTTGACCAACAAGCTTCGACCCACTCACGATCGATCCTTGTACAGTCGACCCTTGTATGGCCGACCCTCGGCTCACCGAGTTCGCCTCATGCGCTCGTGCATCGATCTGTTGGGCCTTTCGTCGGCTACCATGGTTCACGCCTATGCGAACTCCTCGATCCAAGCATGTCCGTGTTATGCGCTTATACCTCATGCTCCTCGGGCTCACGCAGCTTCTTCGTGCGCGTATCTTTGTGAACGTGTGAGCTCTTCTCGCGTGTACCCGCTCCTTTGCACAAGACATCCGTCGACTGCCTCGTGTTCGCGTGGACTCGTGCCGCTTCTCATGTGCTTGAGTTCCTCTCATACGAGCTCGTACCCGCCTCTTGGGCCATGCGTGCATCGTTTTGGCCCTATTTTTAGCGCGCAGGCATGGGCGCACTGGGGCGCTGCGCAGGGGAACAGCGCGCGCAGTCACGCGCGCAGCGCGCAGACAGCACGCGTGATACGGAAGTGGGTTCCGTACCCCTGTGACAAGAAGGTCGACGGTGACCGGCTAATGAGCGAGTGGCGCGCATCGGCCTCTGATGCGCGAGGATGGACGGAACAAGATGATACGCGAGCGCCAGACGAGCAGCCCACGGGGATCGACAATCGGCACACGGGCGAGACGGGAGCTGCTGGCGTGCACGGGACTGACGCAGGTGGTTGGGACGCGCTCGGGATGGTCGGAAGTGGCGACGAGCGCGAGATAGCGCGCGAGTGCACGGGAAGCGCGGGCGTCCTAATCCGCGAAGAAGTCGGCGTCCTGCAGGGATGCGCGAGGAGTGACGCGTGCAAGGGAAGCGGACGAGGCCTATGCCTCGGAGGAGTAGGAGTAATGGTCGACTGCACGCACGCGCATGAGGAGTTCGGCGGCAGTTGGGCGAACGCGTTGGCGTGCGCATGGGCGCACGAGTGCGACGCGGGCGATGGCCTATACCGCGTAGGCATAGGAGTGCTGGACGACGAGTACGGGGCGCACGGCGACACGTGCGAGGCACAACGCGAGAATAAGCAGGCAAGCCTAATCCTCGTAGGAATAGGCAAGGCGCGAATGCTAATCCTCGCAGGAATAGGAATAGCAGTTGAGTGCCGGAATGCGCGTGGGAGATCGGTGACGGGAGTAATCCTCGGAAGATCAGGAAACGTAACCGAGAGCCTATTCCTAGTAGGAATAGGAATAGTGGATATGGGCTCAAGGCATGGTCCTACAAGGAATAGGAGTGACGCAGCAGGCGCGCGAGACCTAGTCATCGAAGGACTAGGCGAGCGGACAGTGAGTGCACGTACAAGGCAAGGCGCGCTACGCCTAGCAGCACTAGGAATAGGCGACGTGCAAGTCGGCGCACGCAAGGCGTGTGAGGCGGTGAAGGGTTGGACGCAAGGAGCTTCTAGAATGGTTTGGAATGCAAGGCAAGGGATTGGATAGCAAGTCAAGATATTAGGAGATCTAATAGATTTAGGAATTTATGGTAGTAGGATATTTACTAGCCTTAGGATTTAATATTTAATTGTTTTATTAGTTTCCTAGTAAGATTAGAACTAGAGGTAGTTGGCATCTATAAATACCCCATGTACCTCATCATATTTTACAAGTTGAATGAAGTATTGAATTGGTGAGCCAATCTTGAGGGGGAACTTTATGTTCTTAACGTGTGATAAAGAAGGCCATTAGTGCGTCTTTACATGCAGTGTCGGAGAGAAGGCCAATAGTGCGTCTTGAAGTCACGGTATCTAGGAGAAGGCCGTAGTGCGTCTGTTAGATACACCTATCAGGGATAAACGAAGGCCTCAGTGCGTCGTTTATTCGCAACCAACCTATAGGTAAAAACACGATCCGTCATCATTGGTGCTTTCGTTGAGAGGTGCTGATCGTGTTTTTATTTATCGTAACCTATCCTTTATTTTTTTTCGGTTTTGCCTTTTGGTGAGGGAACCGAATTTCTCTTATTTTATTTGAGTCGAAATTTTCGAATTATTTCGAATTTTTCATTAAAAAAAAAAGTGTCATCTTGTTAGTCCTTTGTTATTTTTTTTCGATTATTACCTTTGGGTGAGGGGCCGAATTTCTCTTTGTTTCGAATTTTTTGAGTCTTGTTGGGGGTTCGAATTTTTCGAATTTTTCCCTATTTATTTTCAATTTTTTTTTATAGAGTCAAAAAAAAAATCATGTTGTTTGAGCCATTAGTTGAGTGGGATCAAGAGGATCTCGAATACCTCGAAGGGTTGGAGAGGAGTTTGACCCCATGGGAGAAAAATTATTTGGAGGAGATGTACGAGCAAAAGAAGGAGTATGAAAGACAACTCAAGATCATAGAGGAAGAGAAACAAGCCGTGGCCCGTGAGAAGGAGTCGTACATGATGTTTGAAGGGGCCGAGGTCATTGGTGCGATCTTGGTCGGGGGTGATGGGTGCAAAACGAGCGCATGGGAACAGCGCGCACAACACATCGATGTCGTGGCCGGCAGATCCGAAGTGCTCGCAGTCGGGGAGGAGATGTTGGTTGCGGTCGAAGCGGGCCATGATGAGGAGGCGTACGCACAGTATGGTGTGGATACGCGTAAGATCGAAGAAAGAGTGCTCGATGGGTGGATGGTCGTGGATAGATCCTTGAGGACAAGGAAAGTCTCGAAGAAGAGGGGAATGATACGGAAGTGGGTTCCGTACCCCTGTGACAAGAAGGTCGACGGTGACCGGCTAATGAGCGAGTGGCGCGCATCGGCCTCTGATGCGCGAGGATGGACGGAACAAGATGATACGCGAGCGCCAGACGAGCAGCCCACGGGGATCGACAATCGGCACACGGGCGAGACGGGAGCTGCTGGCGTGCACGGGACTGACGCAGGTGGCTGGGACGCGCGCGGGATGGTCGGAAGTGGCGACGAGCGCGAGATAGCGCGCGAGTGCACTGGAAGCGCGGGCTTCCTAATCCGCGAAGAAGTCGGCGTCCTGCAGGGATGCGCGAGGAGTGACGCGTGCAAGGGAAGCGGACGAGGCCTATGCCTCGGAGGAGTAGGAGTAATGGTCGACTGCACGCACGCGCATGAGGAGTTCGGCGGCAGTTGGGCGAATGCGTTGGCGTGCGCATGGGCGCACGAGTGCGACGTGGGCGATGGCCTATACCGCGTAGGCATAGGAGTGCTGGACGACGAGTACGGGGCACACGGCGACACGTGCGAGGCACAACGCGAGAATAAGCAGGCAAGCCTAATCCTCGTAGGAATAGGCAAGGCGCGAATGCTAATCCTCCAGGAATAGGAATAGCAGTTGAGTGCCGGAATGCGCGTGGGAGATCGGTGACTGGAGTAATCCTCGGAAGATCAGGAAACGTAACTGAGAGCCTATTCCTAGTAGGAATAGGAATAGTGGATATGGGCTCAAGGCATGGTCCTACAAGGAATAGGAGTGACGCAGCAGGCGCGCGAGACCTAGTCATCGAAGGACTAGGCGAGCGGACGGTGCGCGCTTGTACAAGGCAAGGCGCGCTACGCCTAGCAGCACTAGGAATAGGCGACGTGCAAGTCGGCGCACGCGAGGCGTGTGAGGCGGTGAAGGGTTGGACGCAAGGAGCTTCTAGAATGGTTTGGAATGCAAGGCAAGGGATTGGATAGCAATTCAAGATATTAGGAGATCTAGTAGATTTAGGAATTTATGGTAGTAGGATATTTACTAGCCTTAGGATATAATATTTAATTGTTTTATTAGTTTTCTAGTAAGATTAGAACTAGAGATAGTTGGCATCTATAAATACCCCATGTACCTCATCATATTTTACAAGTTGAATGAAGTATTGAATTGGTGAGCCAATCTTGAGGGGGAACTTCATGTTCTTAACGTGTGATAAAGAAGG